GCCTAAATATAACGTGGCGGTCGTGGTAGTAAGTGGCGACGGGTGTTTCAGGTTGAATATGAACATTTAAGGTTGACTGATTTTCTTTCTTTGTTATAGACGAGTTTTCTTTATTGTTTTTATCTATTTTTTCTTTTATTTATTTTTTCTTTTATTTATGTTGACAAAAAAGTAGTTATAAGTTTTAAAAAGCGGTGTATTTGATGCTCAAGATAGCTAAGGTAAGTTTGCAACAACAACAACAGCAATAATAATACTACTAGGCCTATGTGTGTGTTTGTGTGTTTATAGTGTTTGTTTTGTCTCAATCCATGGATTTTGGGCAAAATATACGTAAAATATATGACACATAATTTGGTAATTTGGCCACTGTTTGGACTTACCAGTATTTGTTCGACGAGTATAAAAAGGGGTATATTTCTTCCGACAAACAGCACGCATACTTCGGAAGTGGCGATCTCATAGTAGGGGAGAGCGGGGTGGGTTGGAACGCGGGTAAGTTGGAACATTGGCTTTATTTCTTAAATCACAAGACCGATCATGTGCTCCTTCAGCATAAAAATGTCACGTGGCATGGTCACTCATCCGGTAAACTTGTGGAAGTTTCAAAAATGCAGTAAAAGTTTTATGCGAAAAAAACTTATTTTCGCTACTCGAAGTAAGTTTTTATATTTTTGACATTCATCGTGCTGTAAACTAAAGTGTAAGGATTATATCACTGAAATTGTGCAAAGCGTTTAGGACCACCTTGATGTTCAAAAAGCTGTTGTTTTTTTTAATCACTTCCCACTTGTTAAAGAAATACAGTGTCATAAGTGGGCCATGACGTCATGGGGGCTGGTCGGAACATTTGACATGGGGCCAGTTGGAACACTGTCAGGAGTGTTCCAACCCACCCCGCACGGTGTTTTTCATTTTTTTTAAACCTCTCTAAATGTTTTAATCTCAACTTTGAAGAGAGTAGTAACGTAGTAACCCAGTACAACTCCAACTGGAGACGAAATCTAGCTGATAGAACATCTCCATGATGCCGGAATGTACATGCGTGTAGAAGATACAAGGGGGGATGGTCATTGCTTGTTAAATGCAAACCTAGCTGTTTGGTCGAAAATTGTCTGCATGCCCACTGTTGCTTTTTGCGATAAATTGCTTTTAGATGTGGAAGGAAATGTCGATTATTACTCTGCTTTTTCGCGGCAAAATGAAAATATTCTAGCTGAGAGCCTATGTTATGGATAAACTATACAACACCAATTCTGCCGATATTGTTTTAGATGCTTTGTGTAATGGGTTGGGGGTTGCTGTTAATGTTTAGTGAACGAGGGCACAAAATCCCCCCAGAAAAGACAAACATTCACCTCGTAACTTAGGCATAGATTCAGTTGAAATCTCTGTTGCCCTCACCGGAAGAGGTGCTACAGCACACTAAGGCTGTATTCCCAGAGCTTTTAGATCGATCTAGATTACTGTCACTAGATTACTGTCAGATAATCCGGCTTAAATGTCCGTCCCGCCTACTACAAGCTGTAAGGGAGTAATTAACTTTGGTGTCCGCTCGGCTGACAGCTATTTAGCGTGAACCCCCAGGGAGTTAGGTCGATCTAAAGTAGATCGATCTAATCTCTGGAAATGGGGTCTAAAGCGCACTTAAGAAAAGCCCAAAACAGCTCAAGTCCAGCAATAATTATACCGGTTCCAAAAGCTTACCGTCGCAGTCCAAAGATTAAAAGAAGAAAACGATGCAGTGCAGTACTAACTGACACACCTGAAAATGAGCTACTCGAAAAAGAAAAGGCCAAGCCCAACAAAATTAAAAAGGACAAGCGCAACAAAAATAAAAAACAGTTAAAGATTTCTAGTCGATAGAGAAAATCAAGAAAAAGGAAATTAAAGATGACCAACGATTCTGAGTCAGAAGAAGAGTGGCCATCTCTGGTTTGTGGGGAGCCGTTCATTAACAGCTGACCAAAAGAGAAATGGGTTAAATGCATTGTTTGTCTAAAGTGGTCACATGAAGACTGTACTAAGGTTGACCAAGTGTACATACTGAGTATGTCAGAACTGCGATTTTGATTCTGAGTTGTTGAGTTGAAAGAGATACAGTTTTCATTTGTAGGTCTTACCTACTGTTGTTGATAGGTTGAGTTATGTGAGTTCAATTTCTTTTCTCTTAAACTACACCACTTTTGTTATCATTATGAAATGACGTGTGACTGGATATGGCTTATACATCGAAAAGACTATTTGAAAGCAAATTGTAAACGTAAAAAATGCTTACAAACTATGGAGATACGAATACAAAGTAACACGCACTTGTTGGGAAATTAATATAGATAAACCTACTCTTAAAATGAATTATACTTTAAATTTATATGCAAGCGTTCACAGTCGCCCTCTTGTTCCAACTCACCCCACTGCCTGTTCCATCTTACCCCGCGGGTGGGGTGAGATGGAACGTTTTAGGAGGCAACTTTGAGCATTTATTACTCTAAAATAAAAAGACCTACTTGATGTTTTATTTCATAGATGAGTGCGGCATATAATTTTCCCCTATCAGATTTTTTATTTTTGTCCCCAAAGCTTTGACTGCTGAGATATCGCAAAAAAGGTGAAAACTGTTCCAACCAACCCCGCTCTCCCCTAGACCAATATATCGTATGTAGGTCTACATGACGAGTTGTATTCCAATCGAATATCTAATATATACAGGAAAACAAAGGGACTTGGTTTGCTGCATCATCTATAATAAATCACTAGGAAGACAAGAAAAATTATAACAAACAAAAGAAAAAACACTGTAGAATCGTTGGAGCGAAATACTCCAGGTAATTAGATTTACCGCGTTAATCTTGGCGCCTGAAATTTAATTTAATTTTATTTCTTTTTCTTCTTTTTTTTTTTATATTTCAAAATTCTTTTTCCAAAAGTGCTTCCAGATCAAGTTGAGAATTCCTCTTGTCCCGACATTTATTCAAAGACGTCCCAATCTCGCGTTAGTTCATCATGCTGTAGGCCTCTATATTAAATTCTGGGATCTTCATGGTTTTTTTTTTTTTTTTTTTAATCAAGAATTTAGTTGAAATATTTTGGATACATAGAATATACATGTTGATTATTCAAATCACAATATTCAATTTCTAAACTCACTTTGTTCTGATTACTGAAGTCGCCCCGATTCCCGTGCATTTAAGTGCATTCGAGCTCAATGCAGGGCCTACATGTATATGTAAGGTGGGCTAAAAATCGCACAAAATTTCAAAATTTTACATTCACAGTTGTCCTCAAAAATTCCACGAAATTTCACTGTAACACATCATTGTTTCTGCCTGATAAACAAAAAAAAATTTGATCTAATAACCATTGCTATAATCATGCTACGCTAAGCGCAAAGATGCTTGTCCGAGAAAATAACGCCGTAATCATGCGCCTAGAATGATGCTTTCCAGGCTGTTAAATCAACAGCTAATTTTTTTCCCAGAACGTGATTACATCCCATTTATAATAATTCAATTGAATCACATAAGAAAAACCTAACCAACTTTGTCAATTTTAAAACAAAAAGTGATAAACGCACTCAGTCCCATGAATCCCAACACTGGAGCCAGTGTCGTCGAAAATAAAATTTTGGAATAGCCAATCGACATTTTATGGCAATTGCATTTTTTTTCAAAGTGGCCTAGGGTCGACTGAACTTCATTAGGTAAATCTATTCATATCTTATAATGTTAGCACCATTATTATTTAACCTTAAATTTTCGGGAGACTAAGACCCCATTCCCACAGATTTTAGAGCGATCTATCCCTGTGGGGAGTCTCACTAGATTACTGTCAGCTTAGCCGGCTTAAATGTCTGTCCCGCCTACTAAAAGCTGTATGGGGCTATTAACTATGGTGCGCGCTCGACTGACAGCAATTTAGCGTGAACCCCCAGGGAGTTAGGTCGATCCGGATTGATCGATCTAAATCTCTGGGAATGCACTCTATGACTGCATTCCCACAGATTTTAGATCGATCTATCCCCGTGGGGGGGTCTCACTAGTTTACTGTCCCGCCTACTAAAAGCTGTAAGGGGCTAATTAACTATAGTATGCAATCGGCTGACAGCAATTTAGCGTGAACCCCCAGGGAGTTAGGTCGATCCAGATGGATCGATCTAAATCTGTGGGAATGCAGTCTAAGATACATAAAAAGTCAAGTTAAAGGATCCTATCTCAAGGGATGGGAAGATATACTTTGGTCATGACATGTAACGCAACAGAATTAAGAAGAGATCACAGGTAAAACTCCGTAAGGCTTCTAAAAGGTTCCATCGTTTTTTGTACTTATGTCATAAGAGTCAAAACTTTTATTTGATAGAGTGTTTTAAAAATGAAATTTCATTAAATCATAGAAATAAAAAAGTCATCCCTAATATATAGATCTATGGTTTTGTTGAGAACCCCTTTTTATATTTTGGTAGTCTAGTTTTTAAAATAACGGTCACTTAGTGTGTTTTTTTAGCTCTACGTGTAAAGTGACGGATCCAGGATTATTTGAAGTGGGGGGTCTGCGGATGCGACGCCCCCCCCCCCCTTGGCGTGGAGTTCGGAGCCCGGTGAAGGCCCCCCCCCCAAAAAAAAAAAATTGGTGTTTTTGTGGGCGAACGGTGCCATTTGGTACGGTTTAGAACTATGATTCACATATACTAGTCAAAATTCTAATTTCAAGAGGGGACCATTGTTTTTCAGAAATCGAAGGGGGGGGGGGGTCAGGATCCCCCTGACAACCCCTAAATCCGCCACTGGTGTACCAACCATTCTAAGTTAAATACAAACGGAATTTGATGTCATTGAATCACAGGAATTTTGAATGTTTACCCCCATTATATAAAACACTATATTAATTTTTGATGGCGTTTTTTTATATTGTGGTAGTGTAGTTTGGAATTATAATAAGGGTCACTTTCTATAGGTTCAAGATGTACCAACCAATCAAGTTGACAGCTAGCACCCTGTAACAGATATCAGTGGAATAAAGCTTTATTACACTACAAGTTAGCAATGTTCAGGAGGGAAGCATTGCCTGAATACCTAGAACATCAGGGTGGGTGAGTGACGGCTGAGTGATGTCCATTGTCAACAATTTGTATGACAACACGCCACGTGTAAATATGAACCATTGGCAGATAATCTGTGGACCATGTCCCATATTCAGGTCTTTGGTTAGGTTGTGTCTAACTATATAGCGCACACGGACTTTATAACAGCGTTAAAAGGTGGGGGTGATCTAAGGTGAAACTATCCGAACCATGTCTGTTGGGACTGTAAGTGTTGCGTTGAAGAATGCTGCTAAGACTATCGGGGAAGGACCTCACTGGGATGACAAGAACCAAACACTGTATTACGTAGATATCCTGTCAGGAGTCGTGGCCTCTTGGAAACCTGCCACTGGAGAAGAGTCCCAAATTAAACTGGGTAGGCTTTTGCTTAAAGACTTCGAGCAAACCGTTCAGGTTAAGTTGCTCTCTTAAAGAGGGCGTCTCGATAGTCCGAAGGTTCATTGGTCCGAAGGTTCATTGGTCCGAAAAGTGGTAACATTTTCATCGATTTTTTTAATCAAGGGTTCATTGGTCCGAAGGTTCTATAGTGAACATTCGGACCAATGAACCTTCGGACTATTGAACCTTCGGACTATCGCTACGGCCCCCTCTTAAACCCCCTTTACACTGGACGACGTCCTTTCTTCATCCTTTGTGCGACAATGAAACTGGCATCGCTTTGGTAGCAGAATGAATGCTCAGTAATCGGCCAGGTGTCGGCACGTAAAGTTTTTTTTACTCTCAAACGGGGCCGTATTACAGGACGCAGAAAGGACGCCGTCCAGTGTAAAGTGCGCTTAAATTATTAGGCCTATAGGTGTCTCAGTATTGCAAATAAATTGTTGGAGGTCTAGCGTTAAACTAGTTCATTTACATAACTGGGGACACTTGGTGTAGATGAAATACATATTACCCATATTTTGAAGTGTGTCATTTCAGATAACCCTCTCAGCCTGGTGGTGCCGAGTACTAAGGGAGATTTCATCGTAAGCCTTGGTCGTAAGCTGGTCCGACTGGACTGGGAGAAGCAGGAAGTGACCAGCGTCCTGGCAGAGGTAGATCAAGGCACCAAGAACCGTTTTAATGATGGAAAATGTGATCCGTCAGGCAGACTGTGGGCAGGTATGCCATCATTATCGGCCTGTATCGCCTGTATGCAACTTGGAGGTCGCGCTTATCTGAGTGAAATACCGTACGTCGTGCGTGGATTTTTTTAAACGGATTGTGGCAGTATATTTTTTAGTTTTTGATGTGTAAAACATGTTCTAAAACTATGATAGAAATACATCGCTTTTTCACGAAGGACCTTAGAAATCCTTGTCCCTTTATGCTGCAAATGGCAAATAAAGCAATCTTTTTTGTCTTGTATATTTTGAAATTAATATTATAAAACTTTAATTTTCAACTGTCACATAGTTAAAAATAATCATTTGTTGCTGAACTTCAGGGACCATGGGTTATGAAACTGTTCCTGCACAGCCAGAGCGGCAAATGGGTTCCTTATTCTCACTCAGCACAGGTTGTACTTTGGCAAAGCATGTGGATAAAATAGACATATCCAACGGTCTGGCCTGGAGCAATGACAACACCATAATGTACTACATTGACTCTGTTCCACGCAAAGTCTATGCGTTTGATTTTGATATAAATGCTGGTGCTATAAGTGAGTTCATTTATATTGCAGTCCAATGGAAAACTTTTTCTATTTCCTTCATGCTCGTAAAATATTAATCAGTATAGTGTATATTTGCGTTTTCAATGTTTTTTTTTTTTGTAAGTAAACAATCTTTTCATTTCTGAAATTTTACCTTAATTTTTTAAGTAACAAAATATAGTCATATTTATTTCAGTATTTCACAGCATCAAGTTTTGTCAATTAACATAAATATATGGTGTAAAACCATTGCCATTCAGGCAACCAACGCACTGCCATAGACTTTAATACACAGCCAGAGGGCGGTCTCAAAGAACATGGATTCCCTGATGGTATGTGTATAGATGTGGAGGGAAAACTGTGGGTAGCATGCTACAAAGCAGGGAAAGTGGTCAGATTCGATCCAGTCACAGGTAAATTAGACAAGAATGCTGTCAAATATACTCATATTTTAAGCAAATGTCATAATTAGTGGTAAATTATTTGAAATCAAAACTGAAGAATATTTTGGGCTTTCAGCCACCTGCCATGTTGCTTTTACTATAAATCCACTGGCATATAAAAGAACAGCTTTTTATTTGTCTCATTTACTTTTTATTTTCATGTGTAGCAAAACAAATCCAGGAGGTCACCTTTCCTGCTGAAAGAATCACTTCGTGTTGTTTTGGTGGTCCTAACCTGGATGAGCTGTATGTGACAAGTGGTGTCCAGGGCTGTACAGAGGAGGAACTAAAGAATGAGCAGGCACTTGCTGGATCTGTGTTCAAGGTCACAGGGTTAGGGGTCAAGGGCACACCATGTCAAAACTTTCAAGGATAATAATTGAAATTTAATTTAAATTGTATGATATGAATTTTAATTACCTGGTTAGAGTCATCTATGAAAAATTGATGGTGCATTTTAAGTGATGGTGAGTAACATTGTTTCAAATCATTAATACAAGAAGTCTATCTACTTAATGGCATCATGTCTATTGGATTTGTACTCACAGAAAATAAATATACTGTTCATTTTCACTGTCTTGCAGTTATCAGAACAGAGAATTACACAACAACATGAATTTAAGTTGATCTTTAATAATTAATGTTATGTTACATAAGTGTTTTGTTCCAAATTGCAACTTTAGTTCTCTTCATCAGATCTTTCCATTTTAAGGGTAATCTGATGATTTAACAATAATTTACAAATTCCACACAGTAATTTCCTTACAGCCTTTAATCTCAAAAACAAAAATACACAACTTTTTAAACATATAAATATATTTTAAACTGACAATAGCTTAGCTTGTCTGCTTTTTTTTTAATTTCTGCATTACTGTAATATCTGGCCTCTGGTATATTTTTCAGTGCTGGAGACAAACTATGATACAAGCTTTTTTATGTGCTGTTTACCATACTTTAATGGTGTAACTAAATATTCGTGCAAATAACGAAAGGTAGACTCTCTTGTTAAGTTTTCTGAAAATCACAAGAAGTGCACATACGACAGAACATTTGGCTGAATACGTATTTACTGTGCACTGTAGTCAAGTTGGATTCCCAAAATATGTTGTTACTTCTCTTAGGATTTCTTGTTACTTGGTTTTAACTCATCATAGCAAGACCTGAGAAGAACGTGCGGTTTCATCTTATGGGGATCAAACCCTTCGTGACCCTGGAATATGTAAAGATTTCTTTCAATTTTATCATGCAATGAAACTCCTCCATACAAATCACACTATCCATAAAATGAATCCCTTAAAATGTAAATCTGCATAGTGGAAATCGTCAAGACCATTAAGTTCCCAAGAATACTGCCTGAGGTGTTGATAAAAGTTAATAAACTAGCAGTTTTTTGGGTTACCAAAGCTTTTGTTACTTTCACATGTTAAGTTACACTCAGAAGTATAGTTAAAATGGTGTGCATTGTGTGTACTAGTTACAACACAAGTCAACCACTGTAACTGACATACAAGAGTGTAATTATATCAAGGCGCAGTAGTTGTACTTGAATTATACCACAACTGGCGCTTTCAACAATAGGATGAAAATACAAGTTAGTATGTGAAATACAAGTGCAATTATCGTATTGTTAACTATCATTAAAATCTATAAAATTACCTTTGACCAATCATAACTTGAAGCATAAGCAAAAATATTTCCTGCTGCGTTAAAATGGCAACAAGTGATGGGCATGGGGAGCTGCTCGGAGGTTTTCAGTTTAGTTCTGGCATCTTTATCCCAGAAGCTAAATCTTCCATCACTCCCCACTGTAGCCAAAGTGCCATGGACTGGATGAAAAGCAATGCCATTGACCTGAAGAATATATTGAAAATATTTTCATATAGTGTGCTCAATGGAATCATCTTAAAACCAAATCTTTGGCACAACATATACATACAAGACCCCCCCCCCCCGGATTTTCATGTCAGAATGTGTACAGGGGAACACCTTCATTCCACACAAAGAATTCTGATCACTTTTCTGCAAACAAAGTTACAATAGATTTTTTACACATCAGTTATATATTTTTATATCAGTTTTGGATGACACCAGTAAAGCTGTAATACATCATTCTAAACAAAATTTTCTTACTGCAAAAATATCCTGTGCCCCTCCTGTTGTACCATTGGATCTGTGGCATTTGAAAGTGAAGTTATCTTTGGGGTTTGTAGGACTGAGGTACTGTATGGCCACTCTTCCCTCAATGCTGCCCAGTGCAAAACCCACTGGGCCATTAGTTTTCTTGTCCAGGAATATACTGATGCACCGATGCTGAAACATTCATAAAATATATTACCAACAGAAAAAAATGAAATTACCCACAAATTATTTGGTGAAATTTCTTGCATAAAAGCATGAGTTTTTGTCAATATTTGCTATGATAAGTTGGAAATCAGTTACAGGTCTTAAAACTTGAAAAAATACTTTTTCTTCCTGTTGTAGGACATTTAATGTCTAACCTGATATTTGAGAGGGGAATCCATTGTCTTATATTCTCTTGGCTGGTTCTCCAGTTGATATATGATGATACCTCTCCCAGCTATGCCTACAACTGCCATTGGGTAATGCTGAAAATGTAAAGAAAGACACATTTATCTAAAAGTAAAAGCACCTAAAAATTCAGCATAATGCTATAATTTTACATATGTGGATAGACAACATATTTGAAGATTAGCCTTTTTTTATTATTTTAATATCTTTACTTCAATACAACTATAGGTATCACAGATTTTTTTAAGTCTTGCTTCAATTCTTTTCACACTATTTTAGTTTAAACTTACCACATCTGCACAATAAACTCTTTCAGGAAGGTTTATAGTCATCATTGGATTGGGACTTCTAGTATCCCAGAACTAAAAAGTGAAAACCTTCTTTTAAGAACTCCAATTTATGACTCCAGTTCTTTGTCTTACTTAAAATTCATTTATGCACTTTAACACAAGCTGACAAAATTCAGAAAAGCCACTGACTGGAAATATTGTCTGAGATGTATGGAAATGAATGGGCAAATTGGCAGACAAACTGAACCAATACTTGAAATTGGAAAATCACCAGAAAGGATTCCATGTATCATCACTACAGTTTTAAGCCAAAAGCCAAATTTAACACAATGAAAACTAGGACAAGTTTTGACATCAAAGCCAGTTAAACATCAGCTACCCATGCACTAGCCTATATATCAAGTGATACACCAGTGTACTAAGTGATATATTAGATCATGATGTTTCTGTTCATAATACCTTTAGTGTTTTATCCCAGCTGCCAGTCATCACACAGCTATAACTCGGGGCTTTGATCCAGTGGATAGTTTTAATGGGAGCATCATGCTGGGGAAAGAACCAAGAGATATAGTCTTTTATACAATTCTTTTTGCACTTCACATACTAACACAAAAACATAAATATATCAAAACGTTATAATCTATTACTGTTCACAAGCATATTGAGGCTTGTATGTACTGATCAGAACTACCTGACGATAAATTTTATTGTTCTTACTTTAGCACAAAATGGAAAACATTTAGGTAATATAACAACTTAAGTCATTCATTTTACCTGGGCTATCTGCATGGCTTGGTTGCTCGCCAAATCCCACATTTTTGCTGTTTTGTCACAAGAGGCAGTAAAAACTTTTGTGCCATCCTGACAAACAGAAGCACATTCATATCATATAGACAGCAAGACCCATCTTTGTCATTTTTCAACAACAATTTGTCTTCTATCAAAAAAAGATCCCGTGTCAATCTCATAATTAACATTTGTCTCCTTGCATTAAGTTACAAGATTACAGACATTACTTAGTTATTTTTTTAAAAGCTGCAGCATGACCATGATTGTATCAAATCTTTTTTGCCTGGACACCTAAGTTTTTAATATACTTACATCACTCCATGCCACATCCAGCACTGGCCCCGTATGTGTTTGTTGTGCTTTGGGTATTGTCTGGCCATTCTGTTCTACCTGCCAGCACCGAACCTGAAATATATACAGGTCATTATTACATGCTGTTCTTCTTGAAATATAATTTTACACAAAAAAATATATTCTATTTCTATTTACATATTTTAAAAAACTATGTACTTAAAAAACTTAACTAGAACCCCTATGTGTGTGGAAGGTATCAATGTCAGTAAACAAAGCACATTTCTCCCTTATAGTGCTTTTAAAAAAAATATCAGCCCCTGGATTATTTTTATAGTTAATTATGCAATATGAAATAGATTAGATGTAAAAGAAGTCCAGGACTGGAGTTACCAAGTTACTATTAGACACTGTACAGTGTGAAATATGTAATTCAATTTACATTGTTATCCCAGCTTCCAGCCACTAGAAATGTAGAAGTTAGAGACCCTGGGCTAAACTGGAGAGAACTGACACTGTCATCTGGTGGGGAGGCTACCTCCACATCTTTCATAGGGTTATAGTTTACCACCACTTGCTGGTTACCTCCAAACAATGAGCCTCCACCAAAAGACCCAGTTGACGATCCACCAAATAAATTCATTGTGAATCTAGAAATTAATACAAGAAAAATTTTTCACATAAAAGATAGCCATACATAAAACATTCTATTGCCTCCATTTATGACTTAGAAATTACATATTTAATTCTCAACACTAATTTTTAGCAAATGATAGGATGACAAAACAATTATTTTGCAATTGAGTTAATATAAAACAAAGATATTATTACAGAAAACAAAAAATTCCCAACAAATGCTCAATGTACAAAAGAGACCACAGAGCAACAGCTATCTAGCATCACTGTGAATAATAACACCCTAACAATCCTACTTGAACTTGCATAGGAATATATTTTGTGCCTGAGTGCAAAATAAATATGTACAGGTAGAATAAAAATATCAGTAATGTGAAACTGGTTCTCCTTATTCCAATCTTTACGCATTATAAATTGATTTTGCTGAATATCTTTAATCTGTAAGCGGTTTGTTAACCATAGAGCCACAAGTTACAGAATATACATCAATTTTTCTTTTAAATAACACCAACAGAGCTTCTAGATTCAGAGTAAGCTTTAAGAAGCTATGGAGACCATCCTTTTCTGTTCTGAGCACCATTTGAGAGAGACTGTAGCAGTTAATGCATGAGATTGAGGATGACACACTAAAAGAAAGGGTACGAATCAAATCTTGAGCTCAAATCTTGTTCCAACCACAATCAAAATACAACATATGAACGACTCACTGCTAAGGTTTAGGAAGAACTCTTATAAGTTAACTACAGAAGGTAAAGAATAATATAAAAGTGCACATTCGTCAAAAGTACTCACACACCATTCAGTTGTTTTGCTCCTGAAAATTTCCCCGCTGCATTGTAGGTGGCGCGCGATTCACAGGGAATGGTTTCGTTATGAATAATCTCCGCAAATCATATTGGTAAAAGATTAAGAAAAAAATTGTAATATGTATATTGTTTTCGAATATCATCGTAAGTAATAACGGTATAGCAAGACAAAAATTTCATTCAAGCTGCTCTACAGATCCCTGTGTTGGAAACAAAGATGGCTGCGCCCATAAGAACCACATTTCGTTTCATTGGTACGTTTATCGTTGTTATAATTATGTCCACCGCATTGTCGCACATACTGTAATTCATAACGATTTATTTTGATGCAGAGTTCGTCAAATTCTTTAATAGCAAATTCTTTTTTAATCACTAAATTGTTTACCTTTTATAATTTTTATGTGTTCTCCTCGACCGGTGTCATCGTCTTCATCCTTTCATGATTTTCATCTGTTCACAGACATCGGAGCAAACTTGACAGGTAAACTCATTGAAAGATTTTCCATGCAATCCCCATCAGTAACGTGTATATTGTTTTTGGTGTTTTTAATGCTTTAATCGGTACAGTAATAAAATTTTTAATTTTAATTAAAATTATTTTAAATTTTGTTTAAATTAGAAAGATTATGTTCAATGATGATGTTAACTCAAATACTTCTATTGTAGATCCTGTATTCAGAGGGTTATACCATGGTTCTAAAAAGCATCAAGGTATCTTATGGGGTATATGACTGTGTATCCTTCCAAAGAAGTTAAGTTTGACAATATGTTTCTTGTAAACTGAGTGTAAATCTGTAGAACTCATATTATGTTTACTGCATTTTAATGCACTCAGAAAATGTGAAAAAAGTGGTAGAGATAGAAATTTATAGCTTATTGCTAATTTTAGCCTATTATTACAATTTTCAGATGATTTGCAAGAAGTTCTGCAAAGGGCATTTGACATTGGCGTGGAAAAGGTAACTCTTAAAATTTGGTGATGGAGATAAATGTGGTGTACATACTACATATATGTACATCATCATTTAAGAATGAATAGAAATGAAAGCAGATAAACAAAACAACACACAAAATACATTTGTGGATTTCATGAATAAACCAAAGAAACTGTAAATATACTAAAATGAGAGAGAGATCTGAGAGAGAAGAAAGAAATTTACTTTTTCAGTTATTTTTAGCTTTTATTTAACCAAATATTGATCATCTTATAATTTCATCTTTCAGATTCTCATTACAGGAGGGAGTTTAAAAGACAGCAAGGAAGCTCTTGAACTAGCTAAAACTAATGGTAGTACTCTATTAAATAGTTACCAAGTACAGTCTTGTTTAATATAAAATGATGAGTTTTTTTTTTGTGACTCTACAGTGATAATCAAAAATCCACCCAGAGAAGCTTGTATTCTGATAACAACAACCATAGTAAATATGTGAACATACATTAAAACTGCTACCTCCAGATGCCTTACACTGCACAGTTGGCTGTCATCCAACCAGATGCCAGGAGTTTGAGGCAACAGGTTCTCCAGAGCAATACCTGGATGACATGAAAACATTGATAAGAGAAAACAAGGACAAGGTGGTAGCTGTAGGTGAATGTGGTCTAGGTAAATATGGTGAAGATTTGTGATTTTTGTATATAAAAGCAATTCACTGCTAGGGACTTTGACATCTTTGTTTATAACTGTATACATTGAATTAAAAAATCTGGATTATATTTACAGAATTATCCAGGACCACTAGGATCCTTAAAAACGTGTTAAAGCAGGTTTTATTTGGATATTCATTGTCTGTTTTTCAGATTATGACAGGCTACACTTTTGCCCCAAAGATGTGCAGTTGAAGTAAGCAAGNTAACATGGCGGTGGAGCCGGCGGAACGGACCGGACGGGACTAAAACCATGTGTACCGCCAGCGCTAATAAAAATACTCACAAATTATTTGGTGAAATTTCTTGCATAAAAGCATTAGCATTTGTCAATATTTGCTATGATAAGTTGAAAATCAGTTACAGGTCTTAAAACTTGAAAAAAAATTACTTTTTCTTCCTGTTGTTGGGCATTTCATGTCTAACCTGATATTTGAGAGGGGAATCCATTGTCTTATATTCTCTTGGCTGGTTCTCCAGTTGATATATGATGATACCTCTGCCAGCTATGCCTACAACTGCCATTGGGTAGTGCTGAAAATATAAATACAGACACATTTATCTTAAAGTAAAAGCACCTCAAAATTCAGCATAATGCTATAATTTTACATATGTGGATAGACAACATATTTGAACATCAACCTTTTTTCTTAACTATTAATAATATCTTTACTTCAAGACAACAGATTTTTTTCACAGATTTTTTAAGTCTTGCTTGGCTGATTCAATTCTTTTCACACTGTTTTAGTTTTCACTTACCACATCTGCACAGTAAACTCTTTCAGGAAGGTTTATAGTCATCATTGGATTGGGACTCCTAGTATCCCAGAACTACAAAGTGAAAACTTTCTTTTAAGAACTCCAATTTATGACTCCAGTTCTTTGCCTTCAATTTATTCATTTATGCACTTTAACGCAAGATGACAAAATTCAGCAAAGCCAATGACAGGAAATATTGTCTGATATGTATGCAAATGAATGTGCAAATTGGCAGACAAACTGAACCAATATTTGATGACATATTGACTTACACTGGCATTAGAAAATCACTAGAAAGAATCCCAAAGTTCTTATGAACATGCTTTCACTAGTGGGCTAGATTTGGTCTTAAAGTGCAATTTAAGTTCACAAGTGATCTTACACGATCTTAATCATTACTGCAGTAGTCTTAAAATGGACTGAATCTACTTTTAAGATAAAAAATGATCTAATTTCTACTTAAGTGGTCAAGCAGTTTCCTCCCATCACAATGGGGGATACCTTCCCTCACAATAGAGGACACCTCTGCTCACAATAGGAGAATGTGTAAGGGGAGACAACTTAATTGGCTGCCAGACTAGAAATGGTCTTACTCATGTTTTAAGATCATGTAAGACTATTTGTGTTTTTAAATTGCACTTTAAGACCAAATCAAGCCCACTAGTGTTTCCTGTATCATCACTGCAGTCTTAAACCAAAACCAAATTTAACACAATGTAAAACTAAGACAAGTTTTGGCATAAAAGCCATTAAAACATTGGTTACCCATGCACTAGCCAGTATATCAAATGTTACACCAGTCTACTAAGTGATATATTAGATGTTTCTGTTCACAATACCTTTAATGTTTTATCCCAGCTGCCAGTCATCACACAGCTATAACTCGGGGCTTTGATCCAGTGGATAGTTTTAATGGGAGCATCATGCTGGGGAAAGAACCAATAAGATATAGTCTTTTATACAATTCTTTTTGTACTTCACATACTAACACAAAAACATAAATATATCAAAATGTTATAATCAATTACTGTTCACAAGCATAGAGGCTTGTATATACTGATCAGAACTACTTGACAATAAATTTCATTGTTCTTACTTTAGCACCAAAACAGAAAACATTTTAGGTAATATAACAACTTAAGTCATTCATTTTACCTGGGCTATCTGCATGGCTTGGTTGCTTGCCAAATCCCACATTTTTGCTGTTTTGTCACAAGAGGCAGTAAAAACTTTTGTGCCATCCTGACAAACAGAAGCACATTCATATCATATAGACAGCAAGACCCATCTTTGTCATTTTTCAACAACAATTTGTCTTCTATCAAAAAAAGATCCCGTGTCAATCTCATAATTAACATTTGTCTCCTTGCATTAAGTTACAAGATTACAGACATTACTTAGTTATTTTTTTAAAGCCACTGCAGTATGACTATGATTATATCAAATCTTTTTTGCCTGGACACCTAAGTTTTCCCTATACTTACATCACTCCATGCCACATCCAGCACGGGCCCCGTATGTGTCTGTTGTGCTTTGGGTATTGTCTGGCCATTCTGTTCTACCTGCCAGCACCGAACCTGACATATATACAAGTCATTATTACATGCTGTTCTTCTTGAAATACAATTTTATACCAAAAAATATATTCTATTTATATATCTAAAAAACTCTATGTACTTGAAAAACTTAACTAGAACCCCTATAGTGTATGGAAGGTATCAATGTCAGTAAAGAAGATTTCTCCCTAACAGTGCTTTTTAAAAAAATATCAGCACTTGAATTATTTTTATAGTTAATTGTGCACTATGAAATAGATTAGATGTAAATTAAGTCCAGGATTGGCAGCAGAATAAATGTAAAACCAAACATATACAAACAACAGATCATTTGCACGAACTTCACTCAACCCCTCCCCCTACTTCAAAAGTAGCCACCATAATAAGCAGTTTCTGTTAAGTAGCTTGTATTTCAGCTATTCACATTGTGTGAACAAATATGTTTAGGACCATACGCTGACAATATTTTCTTTCACCTTTTTATCCCCACCATGGTTTTATAATTATATTTGATCACCCAAACTTGTCATTTTCCAGTCAGTCAGAAGACAGGCAAGTGACATGCACACTATACGTTACTAAGTTACTGTTAGACACTATACAGTTTGAAATATGTAATTCAATTTACATTGTTATCCCAGCTTCCAGCCACTAGAAATGTAGAAGTTAGCGTCCCTGGGCTGAACTGGAGAGAACTGACACTGTCATCTGGTGGAGAGGCTACCTCCACATCCTTCATAGGGTTATAGTTCACCACCACTTGCTGGTTACCTCCAAACAAGGAGCCTCCACCAAAAGACCCAGTTGATGATCCACCAAATAAATTCATTGTTAATCTAGAAAGGAAAACAAGAAATTTTTTTCATATAAAAGGTAACCATACATTGCATTGCCTACATATATGATTTAGAAATTACATATTTAATTCTCAACAACAAACAGCAAACAGTTTGAAATGATAGGATGACAAAACAATTATTTTGCAATTGAGTTAATATAAAACAACGGTATTATTACAGAAAACAAATAAACTCCCAACAAATGCTCAATGTACGACCACAGCTAGAGCAACAGCTATATCTAGCATCACTGTGAATAATAACACCCTAAATATCGTACTAAGTACTTAAGCTTGCATAGGAATATATTTTGTGCTTGAAATAAGTAAGTAAAATAAGTAAAATAAATAAGTACAGGTAGAATAAAAATATCAGTAATGTGAAACTGGTTCTCCTTATTCCAATCTTTACGCATGATAAATTTTGCTGAATATCTCTAATTTGTAAGCAGTTTGTTAACCATAGAGCCACAAGTTACACAATATACATCATTTTTTCTTTTAAATTACACCAACAGAGCTTCTAGATTCAGAGTAAGCTTTAAGAGGCTATGGAGACCATCCTTTTGTGTTCTGAGCACCATTTGAGAGAGAATGTAGCAGTCAATGCATGAGATTGAGGATGTCAAACTAAAAGAAAGGGTACGAATCAAATCTTGAGCTCAAATCTTGTTCCAACCACAATCAAAATACAACATATGAACGACTCACTGCTAAGGCTTAGGAAGAACTCTAATAAGTTAACTACAGAAGGTAAAGAATAATATAAAGGTGCACATTCGTCTAAAGTACTCACACACCATTCAGTTGTTTTGCTCCTGAAATTTCCCCGCTGCATTATAGGTGGCGCGCGATTCATAGGGAATTGTTTCGTTATGAATAATCTCCGCAAAACATACGTATTATATTGGTAAAAGATTAAGAAAAAAATTGTAATATGTATATTGTTTTCGAATATCATCGTAAGTAATAACGGTATATCAAGACAAAAATTTCATTCAAGCTGCTCTACAGATCCCTGTGTTTAAAATAAAGATGGCTGCGCCCATAAGAACCACATTTCGTTTCATTGGTACGTTTATCGTATGTCCACCGCATTGCCGCACATACTGTAATTCATAACGCATTATTTTGATGCAGCTTTAATCAAATGATTTAATAGCAAATTCCTTTTTAATCACTAAATTGTTTATCTTTTTATATTTTTTTTTATGTGTGCTCCTCGACCGGTGTCATCGTCTACGTCCTTTCATGATGTCCATGTGTTCACAGACATCGGAGCAAACTTGACAGGTAAACTCATTGAAAGATTTTCCATGCAATCCCCGTCAGTAACGTGTATATTGTTTTTGGTGTTTTTAATGCTTTAATCGGTAAAGTAATAAAAATTAATTATTATTTTTGTTTAAATTTGAAAGATCATGTTCTATGATGTTGTTAACTCACATACTTTTATTGTAGATCCTATGTTCAGAGGGTTATACCATGGTTCTAAAAAGCATCAAGGTATGTTATGGGGTATATGACTGTGTATCCTTCCAAAGAAGTTAAGTTTGACTGTGTGTTTCTTGTAAACTGAGTGTAAATCTGTAAACTCGTATTATGTTTACTGCATTTTAATGCACTCAGAAAATGTGAAAAAAGAGGTAGAGGCAGTAAATTTGGGCAAATGTTAAATGTATAAGTTGTTGTTAATTTTAGCCTATTATTACAATTTTCAGATGATTTGCAAGAAGTTCTGCAAAGGGCATTTGGCATTGGTGTGGAAAAGGTAACTCTTGAAATTTGGTGATGGAGGTATACATGTATGTGGTGTACATACTACATGTACATCATCATTTAAGAATGAATAGAAATGAAAGCAGATAAACAAAACAACACACAAAATACATTTGTGGATTTCATGAATAAACCAAAGAAACTGTAAATATACTTAAATGAGAGAGAGATCTGAGATAGAAGAAAGAATTTTACTTTTTCAGTTATTTTTAGCTTTAAATAACCAAATATTGATCATCTTATAATTTCATCTTTCAGATTCTCATTACAGGAGGGAGTTTAAAAGACAGCAAGGAAGCTCTTGAACTAGCTAAAACTAATGGTAGTACTCTATTAAATAGTTACCAAGTACAGTCATGTTTAATATAAAATGATGAGTTTTTTTGTGACTCTACAGTGATAATCAAAAATCCACCCAGAGAAGCTTGTATTCTGATAACAACAACCATAGTAAATATGTGAACATACATAAAAACTGCTACCTCCAGATGCCTTACACTGCACAGTTGGCTGTCATCCAACCAGATGCCAGGAGTTTGAGGCAACAGGTTCTCCAGAGCAATACCTGGATGACATGAAAACATTGATAAGAGAAAACAAGGACAAGGTTGTAGCTGTAGGTGAATGTGGTCTAGGTAAATATGGTGAAGATTTGTGATTTTTGTATATAAAAGCAATTCACTGCTAGGGACTTTGACATCTTTGTTTATAACTGGATACATTGAATTAAAAAATCTGGATTATATTTACAGAATTATCCAGGACCACTAGGATCCTTAAAAACGTGTTAAAGCAGGTTTTATTTGGATATTCATTGTCTGTTTTTCAGATTATGACAGGCTACACTTTTGCCCCAAAGATGTGCAGTTGAAGTAAGCAAATTTGTTTGAATATGTTTCTTGTTATTGAGGTGAACAAAATTGAAAAATCAAAGTGAATTTTGATTGATGAAAGTCCTGGTCTTGTGAAAAAGTAGCTATAGGTTTCCCCATTTTGTTTAAAATTGTTAAATGTTATCTTATTGTAGGTATTTTGAAAAGCAGTTTGAGCTTGCAGAAGAAACTCGCCTTCCCATGTTTCTCCACTCCAGAAATTGTAATGAGGATTTTCTAAGCATACTGAAACGAAACCGTGAGCGATTCTCCAAAGCTGTGGTAAATTTGTGTGTTGTACATTGACGGCTTAAAACCTTGTGTTAAACATAGCCTTTAAGGTAGAATGCAACATGAGAACTCTTGATTATCACTTTTTTATAGATTGTTTCAACAAGTATTTTTAACATATATTTAATTAAGTTATTGTAAGTTAATACTTGAAAACTTAATTTCAGTTCATATGCTTTGTACATTATCTAGGTTCATTCATTTACTGGGACTGCAGAAGAAGCTCGCTCCTTAACAGATATTGGAATGTATATTGGTATTAATGGCTGGTATGTCAGGACTGTTGTTTGCTAGAGATAAGAGAAATTGTAAAAAGTTATGTCATGATATTAGTTCTTTACATGAAAACAGAATATATATATATATATATATATATATATATATATATATATATATATATATTTATATATAAGGTATTTTTGTTGGTTTTTGGAGTTTTGTTAAGATAGAACCAAGTTATGATACTGAAATTAAGTGTGATGTTATCATTTCAGTTCACTGAAAACACAGGAGAATATTGATGCTATGTGTTCCATACCAAGTGAAAGACTAATGATTGAAACAGGTAAACACTTTCATTTCAGTCTATTACAGAATTTACTACCACATAGTTTTTGAAAAAAAATACGTAATACACAGACTAAAAAAAAATTACATTACACATGTATTTATTACCTAAAAGAATGAAAAGGGACTGCCATTCATTTTGATATGAATATTGGTAAACTGATCATTTCTAGATGCCCCCTGGTGTGAGATCAGGCCGTCACATGCTGGTGCCAAGTCCGTTAAAACTACATTTCCCAACAAGAAGAAAGAGAAATGGGAATCTGGGTACACAGTGAAAAGCAGAAATGAACCAGCCTTTATTATGTATGGACAGTTTTTATTTGCTGGGGCTTAGTGCATAAATTTTGATAAAAAGTATTCTTTAGAAATGCTTTGTTTCATTTAGTTAGATTTCTATCTGTTTCTAAAGAAAAACATACTTGGATTTAAGCGATGAACTATTATAATTAATGTCAATCCCATTCTTCTTAAATGTGTATTTCTAGAACTCCTTTCTCATTTTTTTCCTCAAGTGAAATTTCATATTTTTTATTTTCAGACAAGTATTGGAGGTGATGGCTGCTGCAAGAAAAGAAGACATCGGTGAATTAGCAAATAAACTGTACGAGAACACCAAGCATGTGTTCTTTAACTCTTGATGTGCACAATCTTCATAATATAACGTAAACTATATAGCTTTGTATCAGTAACTTTATTTATGAACAGAACTTAACAGTTCATGAAGGTCTTGAATTAAATCCAGAAAAAATATTACTTAAATAATAAGTCTCTTACAGATTGTATCTGAATAAAAGGGTCTTTGTGATGACATTTATGTCATGCTATCAAAACTTCAATAATAAATATACATTTTTAGTGTGATGCAGTGAAGATAGTAGTGTATGTGCATTGTGCTATGCAAAAGGAAATATTCATATTACAAACTGCTATATTAAAAGCACTGCTCATGAGCAATGAATAAGCAATGCCATATTTTAATATGTCATGAACAGATGACATGTATTTATATTTATAAAACTCCCTTTTCACTGGACAGCATCCTTTCTGCGTTCCGTTGTGCAGTCCTGTTTGAGAGTAAAAAAACAATACTTTACATGCCAACAACTGGCCGATCATTGAGCATTCATTTTGCAACAAAAGCAATGCTTGTGCTTTCTTTTTACAACCACAACGATGCCAGTTTTAGGGTCACAGAAAGGATGCCATCCAATGTAAAGTGGGGTCAAGTGTAGACAATAGGGGTAATACTACTTTTCTGTTAGCACCTTGGGTTAGGAACATCTCAAAATGGGAAGTTTTGCCTTACCCCATTTCTACTTTGGAAATGGCCCACATTGTGCAATACTTACACATGATTTAACATTGTGTACTACTCTTTAAAGTCAGAATTACATTGTTAACTGTATATTTGTTTTGAAACAAACATCACTGTAGGCTTGGTACTCTAGGAGTTGTGATCCTACTAGAAGTCAAACTTAAGCATGAACCATTAAAATTCACCATATACAGCAATACTTGATATAAAATTTGCTATTTGTGACTCTACAATGATAACCAAAATTCCCCACACCACAGCAGCTAGTGTTCTGATAACGCGAACACAAAGTAACTATGTGAACGTAAATATCAACCTAATATAACATGGATTTTATTTTCAGATCTCAGAACTGGATATTGTCCATCATGTGACTTTGATAATAGTAATAAATACTGGCATTTCAAGGGTTGGCTGGAATGGATTATTCTGTTTTGGCAGTCCACAGTGCCATAACCCACTGCATAAACTGTCTCATATATTGTTGTATTGCCAAAAGCAGGCTTGATATGCTCTGTTGTATGTTTTCTATAGAAAGGCTTCCACTGGAAAGGATCAAAATTGAAATTGTTAAAAAATAAACTACCTCAGGAAACTAACGAATAAAATATGAAAAGGTTATCACTAAGCATTTTCATATCCTTTTAAACTGTAATATATAAATACACTTACGTGAAAACATTTTCATGTAGCCACTTTCCAAATGTAATAAGGCCTGAGAGTAAGAGCTCCCAGAGCCACCATAGCAACTGCCATGCTTGCATTGAGTAATACTTTATAGATGTCCACAGCCAGGGCACCTTTGTGTCCACCTAATAAAGGGATCAGAAAAACTTAATCTAAATTCTGTAGTATGATGATTAAGTAACAATATGCATTTCAGAGATAAAATGGCATTACAGGAACATCAAAATTATATGAAATCAAAGAAAGGAAAAATTGAACAAATTCACTACATTTGCCTATGAAAATTCCCTCCTACAACCTCTTTCAAATCAAAAATAAATTAGAAAAATATACTCAAGTCCTCTAACAAAACACAAACCAATCATTTTTTGCATCTGGCAAAGTTTTACATAATTAAAAGAAGAAATTTCATTCTGACATACCCAAATAAGTAACTCTGGAATCTTAACCTGTAGCCATTCTCGCTGCGACCTGGTCACATCCACCAGGAATGTCCAGAAGATTTGTATTTTCTCCCACAGCAGGCTGAAATAGGGTCCTGTTACAGCACACAACTGGGCCCAGTAATATGGCACATTCTCAGACAACCATCTACAATTGAGAGGAACCAGAAAGATGAGTTAGAAACTCAAGCAGATTTAAACACCACTTTAGAAATAAAATTTTAAAAGTAATTAAAAAAAAACAACAACAAAGTCTATCATTATAACTGGTATAAAAATGGATTAAGCATTTGCAGTTTCCCAAACTGATATCTTGAATCAGCCCTGTTTAGGAAGATGTCAAAAGAAAAGCAATGACTATTAGCATAATTAAATTAAGAAATGTGATGATTACTAAAATATTTTTTGCTGAAAGTACTTGTATTTGTAGCATTTCCAGTTGGGAAACAACCACATTTGGAATAACAATAAACTGCTGATAAATAATTTTGAGGGAAAGCAAGTCATAAACATGGAAAAATATGTATAAAACTATTAAAATAGTTATTTAGTATTGTTGTTAAACTATGAATACTTACTGTGACAGTTTAGAAGCATACAGTTGGGTCCTATTCCAAACTTGCTCAGAAAAGGCCAATATCCCAGTGTTTTTCAAAATCCCTTCTGTTCTTGAACCTGGAACCACATGAGAAAATTTTAATCTGTCGGAATTCTTTTCTTTAAGGCAAAATATTCATATACTGATAAAACACTATCTTTCAAATAAAGAAAAAAAAATACATATGTTCAAAAGCAATACCTTTGCCGTTTCCATGAGCACAAACATACCTTCAAACCCCCCACTGCTGTAGATGTCAAAGGCAATGACTGCACCCAAACTTCCAAATGTGAGGAGGAAGAGAAGCATCCATGGGAAACCACTGCTTGTCATCTTCTGGAGAAGTTGCTGTAAACATAAAGAAACAAATACTGAACAATAACTCCTTATTCAAAACCAATGCAGCTGCTTTTCTCCTTATACTGCATCATACTCTAAGCACATTACCACCTACTGGCTGATAATATTTACTATGTTGTTCACGATTAAATTACACCTATTGTTGATAAAAATTTGATCAATACATATGTATCCCTTTATGTAGGGCAGAATTAAAACCCTATTTCCTACATGTTTTGCAGACCAACAGGTGGTAATTGATCTAAAGCTAAGCTACCACACAGAAAATGTTACTTAACAATGTACTAATGAGATGACACGACTCTCTTGTTTCACAATAAAATTCCATGCAAATAGTTTAAGTGGTGAGATCTCTCATCAAACAACATCCATGTTTAAAAAGTATACTTCCAAAACCTTAAGTTCCATAAAAATCACAAATAACAATCATATGGAACACTTTACTTCTTTTGTAGCCTTGTATTATTTAAACATTAATTAGAAAATAGTACATTTTTCATGAAAACACCTGTAGCTGCAGGTGTGGAGAAGTAGAGCAATATCTCATTTAGTTTTTTCATAAATCATTTAAACTTGACAGAGAATATCTGCCAACAGCGACCCACTTTAGGCATACAACATACACCACTGCCAAGTAAATAGTACAAATACTTGATGGCAAGTTCCACATCATAACATTTCATACTAAACCAATCCATCATGCTCAGCCAGCACTCAGTCTCTCATAGCACCATACCTTACAGACCACAGGCAGGTTTTTATATCCCTCCATTGATGTCTTCCCCTGCTGGGCAAGCTCCTCATTTGTAATGGTGAAGGCTCGGATTGTTTCCTTCAGAAGCTTCTTCTCCAGACTGCGGGACACCAATGGCCAGTTGTTCAAGATGTGCTCCAGCAAAATACTTTAAAAGTAAAAAATGTACTTGGCTAAAGTTGCCTCACACTCCAATCTGCTTTAGCAATTACGTTAACATAAGTATCAAATGCTCAAATGCTCTGTGCAACAATTCATTTGTTTGAGGAATGTTGGCATGTTGAAAACATAGCAAGAATATTGACCGCACAGAAATATATTACAGCATCATACAAATTTGCTAAAAATTCAACATTGCAGTTTACCCAATATGCATTACTTTTTACCAAAACATCCAACTCAATATTGTGTCAAAAGGGAAAAAGTTTCAATAATGTAATATTATGGTGGTGCATGTTTTACCTGGACTGGCTGAGATGTTTGGTGTACATCTGCATCCACACACTATAGCACTGCTTGTCTGTAGACAGACAGCTGATCAGGCAAGACAGCAACTACACAAATAAATTTCAAAATCGTTCAATCAATCAATTAATCAAACAAACAAAGACATCAATATAAGCTTCAACAGGTTTAAGACAAAAGGTTACATTAAGAGGAATATAAGAGCCTAAATATTATTACACAGAGATCAAATTTGTTCAAAGAGCAGAATGATTTTACTTGCCATCAACTCCAAACATATAATGTACTTTCAAAAGGCAAAAAATCTTTCTTTTGACATGAGCTAGCAACAGAGGCATTTTTATAATTATATATCAAAACCCACTATACCTATAATTACACATTAAGCTTGGAATGACACTGCAGATGAATTAAGACCAATCCATGAAAAAAATGTCTATCATCAAAACCACAAGGGGTTTACCTCTTTTTTCAGAGCTGGGGAGGAGGATCCCCCTAGTCTGGACAGGAACGAAGGGAAGAAGTGCCTCAGGCTGTTTTGAGGAGTTTTTCCAAATGCCAGAGTCTTAAAAACAAACAGCATGCACAGATTATCATCTCAACTACAGAGTGCTGTAGAAGATTAAAGTTGACTTATTAACCAGTTCATACATTATAAATATTTTTGTACAAGATTAAAGGTGATTTATCAATTAAATTGTATGCACTAGACAATAAAACAATGTAAAACAAAATTACAAGAAATTAATCCAAATATTGTCTAGCAATTAATATGTATCCCCCCCTTTCTATGCCCTTAAAATTTGGGCATGTGCTACTATACCACCTCCTTTCTCACCTTTATCTTTGGGTAGATGGCCAGTAATCTACTCTGTTGATGGGCCTGTAGTGTTCCTGTACTGTAGATCAAGTCCAGCACAGGAAAGAATTCCTTGAAACCAATCACACTGGATGCTGAGCTCAAATCTTTATGGTTCCTGTGGGATATAGTATGGTAACAATCATGTAACACATCATACCTCAGTTGCATTCAAACTCTACTGCAAGACCCATCAACGAAAAAACCAAACTTTTAATTTGCTCCTTTTCTATGAAATTTTCTGAAAGCACTTACTGCCAATATACTTCTTTTAAAATTCCACCTATACAAGATGACATACATAAAGAAGAATTATTAAATATAATGGAATTTATTAAATTTAATAAATTTACTTGAAAAGCATCTCCAAGTAGTCCACAGCATAGCCAGCAAGTGTCTTCATTCCAGTCATTGGCATCATCAGCTCCAACCACACTAAAATTAAAGTAAAAAATAGCATCATTAATGACCACAAAAATGGCATTTCAAGGCAAATGTTCTCTGGTTATAATATCAAGAAGCAATCCAAGTCAAGAATGACTCCCTCAAGATTGACTTAAACTCAGGTCTAAACACATGTGACAGCATTATTATTTAAATCACATCAAAGTTTTTATTTATCGAATCTAAAAGTACTGGACTAACCTTTAAGACCACACCTAAAGTCAGTGTGTCCAGTCTGCCCCAAGGCCCACATGATGGACAAACATCTCAGTGTTCTGCTCTTGTTTCCCTTCATCAGCTCCAAGTTCTACAGAAAATAAATCTTTTTATTGTATCATGATAAAAGGCATACATAATTCATTTTTTACAAATAAATAATGAACATCACATCTAAAAATACTATTGAAAATGCATGTTAGTCATACCCACTTTCGGTAGTGACCGAGATTTGAAGAGGAAATATACAATCAAACTGTATGGGCGTTTCTTTTTCATTCTCTCTTTATGGATGGAAAAATCTTCATTTAAAATTACTAAAAACCCTCACTTACATGAAGAGGAAAACCTTACCTTTTTCAGTTGCCCCAGCGGAATGGCAGGTTTGGACTGTGCCATTAGTTGAATGAAGATACGGTAGCCAAATGTTGACAGACCTGTAACAAGAGACAGAAATATAACTACCACACTAAACTTAAAATGGGAAATGCTGGAAAATGTGAACTCAATATATCATGCATAAGTAATATATCAAACAGTAGCCTTTTATGTCAAAAAGATTTTTTCATCATTACCTTTTCCCATATCTGCAACCATGGACTGGATGCAGTGATCCCAGAAAATTTCCAATGTTTGGTTTGAGCACTGGTTTAGTGTGTTCATCAGTAAGGACCTCAGGTTTTTAGGTAGCTTGCAGACAGGGTAATCTGAAAACATTTCAAGACCTTAAAATTGTGTGACTTAACCCTTAGCTCAGCAAGTTATTTATCAATTACAAGTTTATTTCAAGAGCCATTCATTTTACAAATGATTCATTTTCTGCAATGTTCTGATAGGGGAATACAAAGCATGATAGTTTTTTTTTGTCCAAGCTGAACTTAAAAGATCTTAGTTACTTAATGCATCTAATGACAACTAAACCTGTATATAACATTTATCAATTTATGACAGAATATATATTTTCATATAATCTTTTCTTAATTTCAACCAAGCACTTACTGTTACTAAGATACAATTTCTAGACACTCACAATATTGTTTTCACACTTCAAACATTTTCAAAACATTTCTTTTTAGTGGTATAATTTAAATGATTTTGTTAAAAAATGAAAAATTAGTTAATGTCATGCATATTTCTAAAAATCATGATAAATCTATTTTCTAACACCCACCTTTTGGTTGGTCTGCAAACACAGGGTCCTTTTCCTCTACATTCTCCAGTTTGAGGTTGATGAAAGATGCAATATCTTTCAACCAGACAGAGGGGTTCTCTGGGAAAGTGGCTTGATCTTTGGTCAAAATCAGCTCAAGCTCACTCTTATCAATCTAAAAAAGGGATAAAATATATTAGACTCATGTAAATGAAGTTACTCAAACTGCCAATCCCAATTTGCATTGAGATATCACAAACTCTGAAAAAATTTTTGCTGCATATGCTAAAGAGTAACACCTCATTATTTCATGCCATTTGCAACCACCTAATTATATGTAATCTGTTCTCCAATGGGTAAATTATATGCGCAGTGTCCTTATCTTATCAAGCAAAATTTCAGAAAGTGAAGGCAACACGAGACAACCAAATTAAATCAGTATCATATAATGCTAAGTAAGAAATTTAACAAGCTATCTATCAATAAAATATTCTGCTCAGAGACTCTAAATAATGGCTGGACAAATAGCTTGCTAGTCCTTGCAATATCCTAATGCAATCTATCTCTATATTTCCAACAAAAGACTTTTCGCATGATGAACTAAAAGTTTCGATGACAGCTTCTAGGCGGTAGTGGTACCTTAACCAGAGCCTCATCCAGAGTCATGGGTGCTTGCTGTCTATGTCCATTTTGCTGCTTTTTCTTGGATACAGGTATCTGACTGGACCTCTTATTGCCACCATCCCCACTGGGCTTCACCTGCTCCTTCCCACTCATTTTCTCCTGCCTCTTCCTTTCCTTTTCCACAAAGGCATCATAAATTGTAGCCGATTCCTTAAGAGGAGCTATCAAAGAAAAGGAATTACTGATTGCATCTTCCTGTCTGATAAGTATCTCTACTGAGTAAAATAGCATGGAGTTGATAATAACTGCAGCTTGCTTTTGTGCATCTATAACAGATCATTTAACTAATTTTATGAATATTAACCATTCAAGAGTGATGCCATCGGTCTGCCACTACTTCAACTCAATAAGTCAGAATTGCAATGCAACTGAGAAGAGAAAATATACATCCAAATACATGTCAGTACATAATATATGTAAATATGGGAAACCTAATAGAATGCCAAAAAGTACTCTGAAGGTTCTCAAACAGCTGATTAAAAAAGCAATATGTAAAAGTCAATTTGACCAGGTTGGAAACAATCAATGGTGTACACAACAATTACTCATTGCAGAGGAAAGCAATTGTTGCAAAAGATTTGTAAAACAATGTGAAACTATCCAGTTTCCAAAATTACAGTTCTCCTAATATTAGTATTTATTACTTTGATGGTATTAGAAATTGCATCAACCTTCTGATTCAAATCGAAGTAATGAAATGTTTGTGGTCTTTTTCTTTTCAATGTAATAGGCAACAAAACTGTTTTATGACACCACATAAACTAACTGCAGTACTTAGAAACATTGACTGAGGATAATCGAAGCAAGATGTAAAACTAAATTGAAGACGTGAAACTGGAAGCCACGTCCATCTGCCTCTAGTGTGATTACGCGTACAATGGTCCTCCGAAAACAAATGAGCATGATTTCGCACTGAAGTAAAATATACTCGGATTCTCATTCCAAAATTCATTTTTCATAAGAAACTGAGACAACATGTCGCCCACGTCATAACTTCAACTTGGGACACCGGTGAAATGCATCCGTGAAATCAACAATCTGTGGTCAGTGCCCAAGTTTATGAGCAATAATTCCAGCTTTAGTGAACCACTTACCAGCAACTTCAATTCTCGGCATATTCTCGGTTAAAACCTTTTTCTGTTCCTTGGTAAGCTGCTGATTCTGGCCTTTAGTTTTCTTTGGGCCCTTGCCGACAACTTCCCAACCGGTTCCGCTTGCCATTTTTCTGGTTTGAAGAGTACAAGGCTGGAGCCGTCTCTACTGCGCATGTCTGAGCCAGCCACATTTACTTTTTTCGTGACAACGAGGCTGGAGAAGCCACAACACGGAAGTATCACGGAAGTGTCATTTTTATGTACAGACACAGATGTGTCTGTACATATTGCCATCACCTGCGTCTGTCGTCGCCGTCGCCGATGGCGATGCCGATGCCGGCGCCGTGCACTTTCCTTGTAAACACGATAAGTGGAGGGCAGTTTTACTTTTTGGCTTTATATTTACACAGCTGATGAATATTCATAAAACGCAGGTCAAGTTCGAAAATCAGGGCCATTATTGTGGAAGTTATGCTGTTTTTTCACTTTTCAGCATATTTTTCACATTTCCTCAGATTCAATTCTTAGGCATGTNGGAGGAAATTGGACATTTAACACTGCTGTATTGATATTTTTCCCATCTCTTCAATTTTCTTAGTTGATTGTATAAAAATGGAAGTAACCTGTTAATTTTGTTTTATGTTAAAAAATTGTTAAAAATGGAAAAAAAAAATTTCAGAACAGTGCTGTCTTGTTTACATTTTGGCATTTTCAAGTTGTGACTTTGAAGTTCCATGGGCCTGAAGACCTTTGCTAGTCACATTTTCTGAATATCCATGATACTAATATTTTATTATTAAAAATTGATGGTCATTATGCTGTTTAACATTATGTAATATTGCATCAAAATTTGAAAAAAACCTATTTTGGGCACTGTTCCCATGATGACCATTTAAGAAAAACCATGTCACTTACTGTTCTCAAACAGTACAGTAAATATATACAGATGTGTCTGTACATATCGTCATCACCTGCATCTGTCGTCGCTGGCGTTGCCGTCACTGTCGCTGTCGCTGGCGCCGTGCACTTTCATTGTAAACACGATAGGCTATCTCAAGTGATACTCTTAAAAGCCAACTCTTTAATAATGAAAAAGAGACTTCACTGAAAGATGTCAGACTTTTCTAGAACATTTTCATTAGCCATACTGATAACTATCTTAAACAATGAAAGACAATGTTTGATAATATGAAAATACTGCCTGAAAATCACGTGTTCTTTTTGTGTGGTGAACGATTAGCTTTGTGTACTTTAACTGCATATCCCATACCTTCTGTTACACAGTCTGTATGCAGATCCGGCATATTGATGCGCAAGTCGTGATTATTACAAAAACACCTACATAAGTGATAGTGAGAAAATTGTTGCTATGCTAACAACTGACTGCATGCCAGCCTTGCTAATTGTGAATAATTGTGCAGAAAAATGTTTCTTGTATCACAGGGGACACTTTGGTCTGATTTACTTCTCCAGCAGGTAACACAACAGCAGTGATTTGTTTTCCAGAGATCAACTACAAACTGACTTCTCTCTACATTTATTTCTCTGGCTGAGAGATCTGGAGTCTCCTAAGACAGCAGGGACAATCCAGCTATTGGTTCGACTGACCAAACTCACTCCGAGCTCTGATCTCCAATCCCTGTCTCTTATACAAAGTTCTTCTCCTTATATACTAATACACACAAAATACATTACAGTGATTCTTAAAACAAGTCAGAGATATTGAAGCCAATTAACAGAATTAAGACATATTACTAGAGACCTTTAACATAATTAAAGTCAGACTGCTTTAAACTCTAACTTGGGGATGAAGCAGTAAATAAAGTTATTCAATCCTTTTTAAACTGAAAACATCCTTTAAAACTTGGTTACAGTTCTTTTCAATGAATAACATACATTAACAGATTCATATAATGTCATTATAAAAGAGACATCTGAACAATCTTTACCAAATGTTGATTTAATTTGATTTAAATGTGGAAATTTCTAAAATGACATTTGGTCGTGAAATCACCACTATGACACATCCCTGGGGCCCTTCTAAATATGTCCTCATATTTACCGTGAAATCACCACTATGACATGGCCTGCCCAGAGTCCGGATGCAAACATAATAGAAAATGTGTGGAATGATATGTCAAAACTTTTGAAAAATGCCCGTCTAACCAGCAGAGAAACTCTGTTATATTCAGTGTTTCATGCTTGGGCCAGCATAAGCCTTGAATGCATCAGACAATTTTATGAATCCTTGCCTCGTAGACTGGCACCTATTATTAGGTCACGTAGCTATGCCACTAAGTACTAATTTTGGACTTGAAACTGCATATTTTGGTAAAATGTACATTTTGTTCTCATTTTGTGATTTGTTTGTGAAATTTGATGTTAATAAAATGATACCAGGAGCATATCATTCCACAGTCATTTATCTCCCCCATAGTATTGGTTCAGTAGGGGTGACACTTCTATTGTGTGTGTAAATATTATATGAAACAAAAAAATACCTGAAATTATTGAAAATATGATTGAACAATCAGTGAGCACATTTGGTCATTTATTATTATCATTATTATTATTATTTTAATCCTTCTCTCTCTCTCTTTTTTTTTTTGTACAGATTGCACTATCAACATGTAGGTACATGTTCATTCGTACCAGTATAATGTACATGTAACTTGCATTTCTTACTGACATGAAAAAAANTCCCATGATGACCATTTAAGAAAAACCATGTCACTTACTGTTCTCAAACTTACAGGAAAGAAACATGGGACTAAAATACAGCTTCAGTAGGCAATGTAGTCTGTTTGGTAATTCTTACTGCCAGTTAAACAGTTTTTTTGTGAAAATTTAATTTTTCACATATTGGCATTTTCAAGGTGTGACTTTGAAGTTCCATGGGCTTGAAGACCCATGCAAGTCACATTTTCTGAAAATCCATGATGCGTATATTTTATTATTAAAAATTGACGGTCATTATGCAGTTAACCATTATGTAATATGGCATCAGAATAGAAGAAAACACAATTTTGGGTGCTGCTGCCATGATGACCATTATGGGAAAACCATGTTACTTATGATTGCCAAACTTTCAAAAAAGAAATACAGGACTAAAATGCAGCCTGAGTTGGAAAAGCAGTCTAATTGGCTTCTTTTTCTGGAAGTTATACATTTTCAAAGTGTGAACTTTTTACACATTTTACTTACTTTGGTATTACCTGTTGAGCATAATTAAAATTTGATGTTGAATTTGCAGTTTAACATAATGTACTTTTGCAAAATGATTCTGCTCTATTTTGTGCATAGTTATTTCCTGTTTTTTGTCTGTACATTTGACAGCTTTGCTGCCTTGTTTTCTTTAATATTACTGCTCTTTTTCGAGTTTTTCTTCAACCACGTTTTTTCTTCCACTGAAGTAATGCCTGGGCATATGCATGATTCAAGATACCCTGAGAGCAATCACTTCCATTAATGTTCGCGACTGTGTTTGAACTCACTTGTTTAAAAATCAATATTAAACATCATTTAAAAATACCAATAACATAACCCCATGAAATAAAAGAGATATAAAAAGAAAAAACATTAAAGCCCACCAAGAATCTGACATGTTGAGTGACCTATTATTACCTGGCTTGGGAAGTGTGGCGGTGCATAATTAACAGGTTTTATTGTTAACAAGGTCTTGGTCAACTACTGTGCATTTAAAATGCATTAGCAATTAGTAAGCTTGTCAACTGATGTCAGCTAATTTGAAAGAAATATGAACTTTTGATATGATCTTAACCACTTGAGGTGACCATGATCTGGAGCATCACATCTATAGTCCCCAAAGTTACTAAATAAGTCACGAAAGACCTTCACAGACAAAGAAAGAAGATTGTCAACGAGTGCTGCAATTTTGGTGAATCCCACGGCAGCACACTGAGGCATAACGAAAATTGCTCAAAGCCGTTCAACACAACTTTCCTAAACTTCTCTGTCTGTGTGCACCATGCAGCTCAGCTGAGTCATAGACCTTTATCCTCATTGTTGTAACAGTACCACGTGACCCAGATATGTTGCTTCATTTATGCATATTGAGCTAAGGTTTACTACATGTAAAGTTTTTTTTTCTACTAATAGATTGTTTTTATACTTTTTAAATGGCGGGATCAATTAAAACATATCTGTAGTGTATAGATTGAGTGCTGAATCTTCAAAATTCGCAAAATGGATTTTTACATGTCTAGAATCCTTTAATTTGCCCTTTTCACATAACAGATGACAAAAACGTACTCTTCTGCAGAACAATATTTAGATGTTTAGGGTAAGTTCACAAACTACTTAACTTAGACAATTTGCTTAAGACAGATTGTGATCTTGGAAAACACATATTCTGTCACTTTTCTTCATGACATTAGTTGGGATGAGATTTCATTCATACACCCTAGCTGAGTTTAAGAATTTATTTCATAATATATATTTAATAGAGCTGTTTTTCTAATTTGGGCTGTATGTCAATCCTAAGAATCACTCTTTTAAGTTAAAAAAAATACAGAAAATGTTACAAAGTAACAGCACAGGGCTCCTGGTGGATGGGAATGATAAGACACTTCTTGAAAATGCCAGTTTGAAAAATGAAAAATTAAAGACTGGTTACCATCCTCTTTGCAATGTCAGCAAATAGCAGTGTATTATGTTCTTGTCATTTGTTTAATAAAACTGTGAATTCAAAACCTTACCAACTTAAACCAGAAAATAATTAACAGCATGTTGTAACTGATATTTAAAAAAGTTAATTTTTTTACTCCGCTTTTCAGTGTTCATCTTGGTGCTTTCATCGGCGATACCTCAGGTTGAGGTTACAATTACGTCGCTCGGCTAAATCCATATGCTACTGGAATATATATTTAAGGACAAATTAAGCTTTGTAAAGTCCCTATTGTCACACACCATAGATACTTAATTTTGTCTTGAATGAAAAAATAGCCTCATTGTTTTCGTTTTGTGCTTAAACCTTTCATAACTTGAACCAATATCTGATATACAGTGTACTGTAGCTACTATGCCATTCGTCAAGTTGAGTCTGCTGGGGGAGGGGAGCATTTAAATGATAAACGAGGAAGTCTACCTGCAAAAGCAGCAGCAGTGGTTTAAATGATCGCTATCTCAGCTCCTTTTTCTTTGACAGCAACATAAAAAGTGTTAA